ACTGAAGAAGACACAAACAAATGGAAAGATATTCCATGCTCATGGCTTGGAAGAACAAATATTGTTAAAATGTCTATATTACCTAAAGCAATCTACAGATTTAATGCAATCCATGTTAAAATACCAACAGCATTCTTCACAGGGCTAGAAGAAATAATCCTAAAATTTGTGTGGAACCACAAAAAAACCCCAAATACCCAAAACAATCTTGAAAAAGATCACAATTCCAGATTTCAAGTTATACTACAAACAGACACATAGATCAATAGAACAGGATAGAAAGCCCAGAAACAAACCCATGATTATATGGTTAACTAACCTTTGAACAAAGAGGCAAGACTATGCAATGGTGCTGGGAAAACATGACGGCTACATGCAAAAGAATGAAACTGGACCACTTTCTCACACCATACATAAAAAATAAACTTAAAATGGATTAAGGACCTAAATGTGAGACCTGAAACCAAAAGAACTCCTAAAAGAGAGCACAGGCAGCAATTTCTCTGACATTGGCTGAAGCAACATTTTTCTAGATATGTCTCCTGAGGCAAGGGAAATAAAAGCAAAAATAAACTTTGGGACTACATCAAAATAAAAAGCTTCTGTACACCAAAGGAAACCATCAACAAAACTAAAAGACAACCTACTAAATGAGAGAAGAAAGATATTTGCAAATGACATATCCAATAAAGGGTTACTATCCAAAATATATAAAAAACTTATACAACACCTAAAAAACAAATAACCCAATTAAGAAATGGGCAGAAGACATGAACAGACATTTTCCCAAAGATAGCCAGATGGCCAACAAACACATGAAAAAGATGCTCAACATCACTCATCATCAGGGAAATGCAAATCAAAACCACAATGAGGTATCACCTCACACCTATCGGAATGTCTAGTACCCCAAAGAAATAACAAGTGTTGGTGAGGATGTGGAGAGAAACACTACACATACGCTGTATATATCATCTCTAAAAATAAAACATTACAGATTAAACTTTCAAGAGGTTTGGTGCTGCATCCTTTATACTTTTACATGTGTATGCACCTATAAACAATATATTGTATTGTTTTTAAAAATTCACTATAGTTATTAACCTACAATTTGTCTTTTTCATTTGAAATGTTTTTGAGACTCATCTGTGCTATATACAAATTTAGTTAATTCCTTTTAACTTTTTGATAGCATTTAGATAAGCAATTAGGTTGCTTAATGAAGTTGCTTGGTATACAGTAAGTTGCTTCTAGTTTTCAAACATTACAAACAATACTGCAATGAACAGCTTATTCTTTTTTTTTTTTTAAATTTTATTTATTTATTTGAGAGAGAGAGAAAGAGAGATAGAGAGCACGAGAGGGAAGAGGGTCAGAGGGAGAAGCAGACTCCCTGCTGAGCAGGGAGCCCGATGTGGGACTCGATCCCGGGACTCCAGGATCATGACCTGAGCCGAAGGCAGTTGCTTAACCAACTGAGCCACCCAGGCGCCCATGAACAGCTTATTCTTATGCATATATGTATGCATACCTCTAGAGTAGGGTCTCTCAAGTATTTTTGACCCACAGTAAGAAATACATTTTCTTCATGATCCTATATAGGCATACAAATATATTTCTCTACATATGTGTATAAACTGAAAGAGTGGTATGAAATTTTACCCTTACGTATGATACACTTGGGTATTTCCTTCTTTTAAAGATTTAGTTTTTACTTATTTTTTTAAGATTTATTTATTTATTTGAGAGAGAGAGAGAGAGAGCATGAGCGGGAGAGGGAATCTCAAGCAAACCCAGTGTCAAGCATGGAGCCCAAAGGGGGGCTCGATCCCACAACCCGAAGATCAAGACCTGAGGCTGAAACCAAGAGTCAGATGCTTAACTGACTGAGACACCCAGGTGCCCCTAAAGATTTTTTTTTTTCAAAGATTTTATTTATTAGAGAGAGAGAGCAAGCAGAAGCAGGGGAAGCAGCAGAGGGAGAGGGAGAAGCAGGCTGTCCACTGAGCAGGGAGCGGGACTCGGGGCTCAATCCCAGGACCCTGGGATCATGACCTAAGCTGAAGGCAGATGCTTAACCAACTGAGCCACACAGGCGCCCCATGATTTTATTTTTAAATAATTTCTACACCCAGAATCAGGCTCAAACTTAACCCTAAAATCAAGAGTAGCACGATCTACTGACTGAGCCAGCGAGGGGCCCCTTGGGTATTTCTTTACTATTTAATTAAAAAAATGCTAGTTACAACCACTTTAATGATTTTATATCCCACTAAATCTGTAGCTTGGAAAACAATGCTCTAGATATAAGTGCTACTGCTGGAAAGTATGTATGCATGTCCTCAATTACTATGTAATTGTTTGAACATCCCCCTGTCAAATGACTGGTCTGGCTTGGTACGGAATTCTAGTTTTACATTTATTTTCCTTTGTCATTTTAAGCTAATATGCCTCTGTTTTTGTCTTCTTTATTTCTGATAAGAACTGTGTTGTTAATCAGTTTTTTTCTGATAGTGTTTGAGATATATTCTTTATTGTACTTTTTAAATTTTCAGCTATTAGCTCTTTGAATGTTGCTCTTTTCTTTTTCTCAGATACATTCTGGAGTTTATTTTATCTTCCACAGTTTTTAATCTATCTGTAAATTATCTTCCTCAAGTCTTTATCTCTTCATTCTGGAAGATCTCTTTCATTTTGCCTTGCAATTCACTAATGCTTTCTCCAGTTATATGAGCTCTACCATTGAGTCCATCTATTTAGTTTTTTTATTTCTATGACCACGTTTTATTTCCCACATTTCCAAATTGTTTTTTTCCTATATACACCTTTACCCACCCCAATATCCTTTTATTTCATGGATGTTAATATTTTAATCTCTCTGAACATTTTAAACATATATATATTTTTTTAAAGGAATCTTTTTTTTTTTT